AACATAATCACATTAACAAGTAAGATAAATAATCAAATTATAATTCAATACTAAGTTTCACACTTGAACAATTCGGCCTCCTTGATATAACTTGCATCTCTTTGTTTTCTCCTCACAAAACATATTGATTCAAGCATGAATACAAGCTACATTAACAACTAGACAACTTAACATAACACTTTAACTTCAACCTACATATTTTCCCCCCTTTTCCTTTGATTTTTACCAATATTGTTCCTCCTTTGGAACCAATAATCTCTTGGCTCAATCCTATACAATTTTTTATGAGGAATTCAAATATCCAATGTAAAACTCTAACTTGGTTTTCTTTAAAAAAATCAAACCATACACCACTTAAATATACTTATTCCACTTAATATTTAAGGTTTCTATCCTCCCCTAAAGATCACACATTCTAATCAAAAATAGGCAGCCTTTCCCTTTGATTTTTCAAGCCAAAAACCTAACCAAAATTAGATTAAATCTTAGGGATAACAAGGCTTGAACATACCTTGATGAATCTTTGATGAAAGTTAGATTATTCCTAGCCTAAATCCCTCACAAATTTCAATCAAGAAGTCTGGTTTTCAATTGAGCAGAACCTCCCCTTATATTTTCCAATTTCCTACCTTTCTCTTATATTTTAAGGGGTATTTATAGAAAAAAAAATTTTCCATTCCCTCTCCATTTAGACGACCAAGCTACCACCTAAGAGGGTTATTTGGCAGCCATCAATAGCAAGAGGCATTCATATTTGTACATGTGGCTTTTTACTAGATTATTCCATGATTTATCCATGAAAAATGGATTTTATTTCAATTAAATGATAGGGTCCAGAAGCTGCACAAATTTGGGCCTTAATTAGGATTAATGTGGGTCCCAAAAATGATTTAGGATGGGCCAAAAAGATGGCCTACAAACCAAAACACAATCCCAAACCATTTTGAAACTTCTTCGATTACTATTTACTAGTAACATTCCATAATTTTTCTAGGCCTCCAAAAATTTATTTCTCTTTATGAAAATCCCTTTTTCATATAAGAATATGATCTAAAAAATTTCAGAATTTTTCTCCATCTCTAACTATTTATTTTGAATTTTTTTTCCGATTAGGTCTTTATCAGTGTAACTATGGGAAAATAAATTCTCTCAAATTAATTTCTAAGCTTCCAATGCCTAAAATCAATTTTATAAATTCAAAAAAATATTTAGGTGATGTGTCCATATTTTTCCTAGAATTATAGAGACCTCTAACTAATTAAAATAATTATTTTCTTCTGATTTTTTAATATTTTTCTGAAAACCTCTGTTTATGGAAAATTCTATAACAAGTTATTTTCAAAATAATTCCACCTTTTGGGCCTCAAATGAGATTTCAAAATCTCTAATTTATATTTTTCTCATTTTTTAGGAATTTTTCAGAATTTTTCTCAAAATTTCCTGTTTTGCCATCCATAGATCCATAATTGCAAAAATGCCAGCTCTGACCTTATCGGGGTTTTACATCAAAAGTTATTTCGCCTTCCCGTCTAGTTTCTACATTGGCCCTCATCCCAATTTTTAATTTTTTATGTCTAAATGAAATTTCTCGGGTTGACACTCTCCCTGAATAATCTAGTATCATTATGGATGACGAGAATAATGAAATGAGTTAGTGAAGTCACGTGGCAAGACAGATTGACATGATAACAATGTGAAAGCCAAAAAGTTATATAGTTGAAATACTTTCTCTTGCTGTTTCCCCACACAAAATCACCTTCTAAACTCATTGGAATTATCAAATCACATTGAAACAATTTTAACCTCAAGAACCAAGAGTGGCTGAGAGGTTTCCTTAAGAACACAACTTAGGGTTTTTTTTCAAAATTCAATCCAAACATCAATCAAGCATGCCATTCCAAGCTCATATTCAGGGTTTCTATTCTTTCCTAATCCTTTCTCAACTTGACCAAAATTATGGTAGCATAATAGCCTAGAATTTTTCCATGAAAATCTTAGACAAAACAACCCTTAAACATAACCAAAATCAAGCTTGAACATACATTAATGAATCTTTGATTGAAACTTGGTGATTTTCCCTTACATGGTTTTAGGTCTTGTTTTGCTTGACTTTTTGGTGTAGCAAAGTTTCCCCTTGGTTGAAATTGAGCTCTTGTGAGGGGGTATTTATAGAGCTCTTATGCTGGCCAAATTCTATTCTTTATGGCCTAAAAATATGCCACCTCAAGGGCTATGTGTCCCTTCTCATAGCCTTCCATCTTTAGGTCATGCCAAATGTCCCTTTACTTATGATTTTTCTTGGTTTTCTTGAGCTTGTTTTGAGCTTGAACTCTTCTTACATGAGGAACCATGGGCTACACGAAATTACTATGTTTCCTTGGCCCAAAATCAGCCCAAAACTAGTTGGAAAGGAAGGAAAAATATGGCCCAATCATAAATTATTAATTCAAGTCAAAAAATCACTATATTGGGTATTATTTCCAATAATAGTTCTGGGCCTCCAAAAATTCTCTTTTAAAGGTCTCATGAATTTTTAGAATTTATTTCCACCTTTAACTTCCTGTATTGCATTTTTTCTGAAATCGGGTTTTAATGATAAAGTTTTATCACTAATTATCCAAAAATAATTTCCTTCACATTCTAAGACCAAAAATAATTTTAAATCCATAATAATATGCTAAATAATTTTTTTATTTTTTCTAAAATTATTGAGGCCTCGAGTAGCTCAAATAATTAATTATGGTAAAAAAATCCCTGTCCAGTCATAAAATACTGATAAATCTTAGAAATTCTGTAATAAATTATTTTTACCCTTATTCACCTTTGGGACCACATATACTATTTTAAATCCTCAATTCTCTATTTCTCCTATTTTTGACGAATTTTTCAATATTTTTAACCCCCTATAGTCTGTCCTACTGATACCATATATTATGAAAATATCAGTCCGAACCCTGTCTAGATTTTATGTCATGATTAGCTTCGTCTATAGTCTACTTTACCTATTGGCCCTTGACTTAATTTTTCACTCCCATTGTCAGGGTTAAAATTTATAAGATGTGATAATTTTCTATTATTTTTTGAAGAAAAGATAGGGCCAGGATTTGTCCACATACCCTTTGTAATTTTGTTGAAATTTAAGGGCCAAAAGTTAATCAAATTGCTATAAATGCCCCCTCCCACACTCATATTTTTTTGGCTAAAAGAGGGACCTTAGGGAGACCTTTTTGTTCTTAAAATTTAAGAGTGAGAAAGTCTACACAAGCTCAAGTAATCATCAAGGTAAAATTCTATGCCTTTTTTGATGTTATATGGGACTATTTTTATGATGAATTGATGTTGATTTGGCGGCCATTTCCTTAAGAGGAAATGCTGCCAAATTTTCAAAAAAATAGAGGAAAAATAATCAAGAGATTGAAACATGGATTAAACACTTAAAAGGATAGGAATTGATTGGTTATGCTTGAGTTTTGGAAAGAAAATCCAACCCCTAAAATTATGTATTGTTTAGGTCAAGAAGAGAAGTAGGGGTTAGAGTTGGATTTAATTCAATTTGATACTTCTAATGTGTTTAAATGATGAGATGGTATAGGGAAACACTAAGAAAGAAAGCTTGGAAGCATTAAAATTGAAAGTGGAAATTTTGAAACCATTTTCCCCATGTTTCAACCAAGCTTGTTTCAATAGTGAGGAATTGGATTTTTATAAATTTAAGCTGATTTTTGAATTCTCCATAGAAAATTATGTAGGATGGCCCAAGGGAATTAAGGGATCAAAGCTAGAAATAATAACCCAAAAATCAAGTAAAAGGAGTTAAGGGTTATTATGATGAATGAAATAATAATTTGTGATGCCCTATTGTTTTACCAATAGGTTTTGCATCAAAAGAGAAGGAGATTTGTTAAGGAGAAGAGCTTGAAGACAAAGGATAAGCTTACAAGAGGTAGCTAGCAATTACCATTTTAATGTTACCTTGCATTGTATTTATTGCTATGTGCTATGCCATGATGTTGATGAGATTATGATGTCATCAGATGTATAATTCCATGCATGTAATGCCTTGGCTTATGCAATGTTGAGTACTATGAATGATAAGCATGTTATTTTCTTTCCATGGCATGTGAATGAAGTTTAAAGCATGTAGTAGCTAATTCATGTGGCATGTAATACCTTGCTTATGGCAACATTGTAAACTGCAAGCATAAATCTTTTCTTATGATGACTTTTTATAGCAATTATCAACATAATCATAAACATTGCTGTGCACAATCTTGATGGCAACAAAATCATGGGAACAAGGGATCCCCGTCATTTGCCAAGATCTGCAACTGCATTGGTGTAGTTCAAGATCAACCCGATGGTCTCCATGTGATGTTGTCACCTTTACTCTTCCCCCATCATAATTTTCAGCATACATATGGTCAAACCCAGTCACCATATCCAGCACCTTACTCTCTATATTTAGACCAATGCAATTCTTCCATTTGGTCATAGCCACATAGGAGGCATGCAGCTTTTTTTGCAACTTTCTCTCAGTGCTCATAGATCAATTGGAGTACCGTATGCTTTCTCTCATTGACCATCCATGCATTGAATGATTCTGCTATATTACTTGTAATATTGTCCCGTCTTTTATATGGAAACCTGCTTTTAGCCCACCTATCTATATCCCCATGATGAATAAGCCAATCAAATAGCTTTGGAGAAAAAGCTCTCATGTCATCCATTGCTGCCTCAAATTTCTCATTCGTCCTTGCATATGCAATTTTATCTAATAAATGTAGTGTATCCTCCTTTGATCGGCCATTTGTCCTTGTTTGCCCCTTATTCATTTTCATAACTTCTAAACTAAAATTCTCCTTGATGTGTCCATAACAAAAGGCATGCTTTTGACCACCAAAGATTGATGCCACTCCTCCAATGATAGCATTGTGTCGATTTGATACTTCCACAGAACCCAGGATCTTTTTTTATCATATAGAAAAACCACGTCCAGTCATCTAGTGTTTCTTCTTGACAATTGTAATTGCAAACGACAGCAACTCGTTATCTACATCATAAGCTGAAACTGACAACATTGTCTCCTTGTATGGTCTGTTTAAGTGAGTTCCATCAACATACATAATATGCCTTGTGCCACCCAAGAAACCCTCAATGCATGACCCGTAGGCAATGAAAATACACTCAAACCGATTCCCAATAGTAGTCCATTCAGCCACGATTTTTTCATCTGTTTCCTTTAGCCTTTCGCATACCCATGATATGAGCATGTATGATTGTTCAGGCCTGCCATATATGTCTTCCAATGACTTCTCTTTTGATCCATAAGCCTATTTATATGTTAGATTAATCTCATACTCTCGTTTCAACTTCTTCCTTATCTGAGAAGTGCACTTGTCTGCATGATCCCTCATCTCATCAATCATTATTGATGAGTTCAAACTAGCTCTTCCACTATGCATCACGTCCAAGCTATCTTGGGCAAAATGAACATGCCAGTTTATAAATGTCGTCACTCGTAGCACATTACAACTCTTCCCCACATGATTTGCACATAGCTTCCATGGACAACCCTCAACTTTACACCTCACCGACATGAATTTCTTGCTATTCCTCACATACTTGGGCACAAACTTGTTTGCAAGTGCAAACTTGTATGTAGACACCCAAAATACATCTACACTAGAAAAACATTGGCCTACTCCTGTAAAAAGTCCCCTCCATTCCACATGAACCATCTCACTACCATCCGTATCTTCAACTCTGATGGATGTATCCACATTAGGGGGCCCACTTCTTTCATCATTGTCACATTCACGAGCATTTTCTTCATTAAACCAGCCATAATCACAACACAAACTAATAGAAGATGCATCCAGTTCTGTTTGCTGTGACATGCCCATGAACCTCTCTATTCTGCATTCAGAATGACAAGACTCGTTAACACAAATGACAAGATGAAATTCATAAATGACAACAAATAGTTAGGACAAACTTCCACTTACATTTCTACATTATCCCTTGGTTGGAGACCCCCCTGCCCTTTTTCGGCCACATATATACACATGACCGTTGTTCCCATTGTATTGAAAGAGGTTATATATTTCAGCACTTTCATGAAGGTCAATCAGTGTCTTCTCGTCAAAGGCCACTGTATACTTAATGTCATAATTTCTTCGATCACCACCAATCCACTCACATATCATTAGCCTCAATTCTTTAAGTGTCAGCCCATCCTTAATGCTTCTTAACCTTACACCACCTCCATTATATCTCACTTCACCTTCACATTTGTCACAAATTTCCCTCCCATATGAAAATAACAGAATAGCTCCTTCCCACAAGATGACCCAACTTCGAAATTCATTTTCCTTTATTACCTGCACTGATAACAGAAGTCGAATGATTATATGACTTAATACCATCATCATCAACTTACACGACCAGCTTAGGGTTTGACACATTCATGCTTATAATTTGCAACAAAACACTCATTTCTTTCCTATCCACACTAATGCTTCATTTTCTTAGAATCAATCCACTCCATTATTCGAATCCCCCTTCAACATTGTGCCTTTATCTAACACTAATCACTCTGACCCATTTGTGACACCATCAAACCTCTCTCCCTCGGTGTTTTTCCTTCCCCATGCATTCACCCTCTAATCACCGTCCTTCCCCACAGTTTCTATATACCCACACCATCTCCCTGCTTCGCAATCCTCTCCACCTCAAAACCATCCCCACATCGACGACATTGCCACCCAACAGGAAGAGGAAAATCAACCAGCGCATAAAGGAGACAGACAAAAGAGAGAGAAGAACAATATAGTTATTGAATACTAACCTCACTTGCTTAATTTGTTTAGCTCTTGCTTCACACGTTCATGATCCCACGTTCATGGTCTCTTCAAAGTTTTTCCTCCAGCTCCCGCCACAACTTGCACACTTCCACCAGTCATTTTCTCTGTTTGGATCATAAGGGGCTGTCATGAGGGACTATTTGGTAATTGCCCAATATTTGCATAATCCCAAATCAAGCAACACTTCCCTATCTAGTAATACATTTGCTTAGCTTCCCATTTTGGCATTTCATAATTTCAGGTTTCTTTATGTGTCATTTTCCCTAAAAATAACCATCAAGGAAGCTATCCTAACTTAGCCCTGGTAATGCTTAAATCCAGTCTAGTAGTCTGATATTAGAAAATTAAATTAAAAAATATGTAAAAAAAAGAAAAAAAATTTCCATCTAAGTTGAAAGTTGATAAAAGATTGTATCATTTTATTACTGTTATGTTGAAGCTACAGCTAATATTATAGAGTAAATGTGATAAACTAAGGGCAATACTGGAAGAGAGCGAAAACTTGTTCAAAGGCTTAAACTTGAGAAGGATGATGAGGTACAACTGCATAAGAGACAAATTGAAGAGGTAAGTCAAAAATTAGACGATGCTAAAGAAAATGCTGAGCATGCTACAACTAGAGTTGATCTTGCTGAGGTACTAGCTGTGTTAGTGTTTTTTTTTTCCATTTTTTATAGCATTTATCTATCATTTTCAGACAATGAAACGAGATGAACTAATTTGCAAGGAACTATGATCAATGTGAAAAACAAAATACAGGATTTTTTTTTCCCAAACGATGACAATGTTCTAAAACAAGGCTGAATGATGAAGAATTTTTATTGTGCGGATAGGGTTGTGGCAAGAAGTTGGAATGATGATCTGATTTGATGGAAAGGAGATTGCGCTTGGTGCCTCCTATAGAAAGGTGTCTGAATCTTCTGTGGAAGCTTGTGTTTGGTTTTGCAGTGATAGAGAGATACCTTCTACAGCCAACTTGTCCAAGCTCAAATCTCAATGATACAGAATAAATGTTGGGATTTTTTTTTTGGGGGGGGGGGGGAGATCAGAGAAGGAAAGATAGAATAGAGAGACACAGAGAGGGAGATGAGAGAGATAGACGGAAAATTCTATTCCATTCACTCATTATTATTCTCATGGAATAAAAGGGAGATGGTTCTAACCAGAAAAACTTGGGAACCACGTGTTCGAAGATATTTCTTTTCTTTCCAGTGTGGCAAATAATACGTCTTCCACCTTACCAGATTAATCTTTAATTCTTAATATGGCAAGATGATGCTGAGTAACTTGATTTTTGCTTCTTTTTCCTCCAATGTGAACGAATTTGTAGTGCCTCTTGGTTCTCTATTTATGTAATTTTTTTAGGGATGCTACACAAGGTTGTGCCGTGTGTTTCTCTTAATTTTGAGTATCTGGCTCAACCTTGAGGACTTGTTTTCATGGTGAATGGATGAGTCTGATTTCTATGCGGGAAGTAATTATAGGACTATGGCAGGAACGGTGATCAGCTTACTTGGGAAGAAAGGGACTATGTGTCAGGGCTAGGTCTAGGGATGAGCTGGCAAGAGGTTGTAATCAAGCGTTCTTTCTGTTCCTTTGTTGATTGTCTTAAAAAAGGGGCCTTCAGACATCAAGGAGAGATGGGGAAGCATATTCTTGGTAATTTAGGTATAAAAACTAGTGGAGTTCCTTCCAGTCTCAATGAGGATTAAGCTTTCTGTTTCAGCATAATTCTTCTCTTCCTGTTATCTCTATATAGAAATATAGAAGTTGGTTTTTTTCCCCTCTTCTCAAGTTTTCCCCCTTCTTTGCATTTGGTTGGTGCTTCTTTCGTAGACTAGATCCTGTCAGTGTTTTTAATTCCTGTGATTGGGATTCTAACGCCAAGTTTCCTCTCCGAATGATTCTGTGTAGTGATCAGGAGCAATTATAATAGAATATTATGTGTACTTAAAGAACTGTTTAGGATGTACTGAAGAGCTTGAGGGGCTAATTATGGGTAACTTTCATGTTTAGAATGAATGGATGAAAACAAAGAGAGAGTTGCAAACAGAAAGAGAGCTTCTGCAATTGCTGGAGCCGAAAGGTGATCAGATAAGAGAAAGTGCTATGAGAAAAGTTGAAGAGAAGGAATTGGAGTTAGCCAAAGCGCTTGATGCTCCTGAAATTGCTGAGGTAATTGTTGGAGTTGCCGTTATTTTATTTTTATCATCTCTTTAGTTCGTCTCCCTCATTTAACAACGCATGTTATCATATTCTACGTAAACTTTTAAAATGAAACTTGTATTACTATTATTTTCAAAATCTCTTAACAAATAAGGATTGGGACAAATTATTTATAAAAGTTTTCATCAATGATCAAGTCTTTGAAGCTCATTAGAAAAGAAGGGATAATATATGAGATACAACTGAAGCAGATGTAATTCTAGGTATGGTTGGATTGTTTCTGTACCTTTGTTATGTTCCCCCCTTCTGCTTTCTATACTTTTTTATCTGCTCTTATATTTAAGATAGTCAATATTTATTAATGTTTGTAAATATTTGTCTTTGAGATGCACCCAAACTATGTTACCTCACCTACTGATTTTTGTTGTTGACACTGAAATTATAATAATGTATTATGTGTACTAAAGGAATATTTTAGGATGGGCTGAGGCATCTAAGTGACCATTAATTTGTAACTTATTATGTTCAGAATGAATGGATTGAAGTAAAGAAACAGTTGCAAGAAAAGCTTGAGCATGTGCAGTTGCAAAAGCAGGAATGTCAGGAGACAAGACAAAGTGCCATGAGACAAGTAGAAGGAAAAGAACTAGAGTTTGCTGATGCCCTTAATGCCCTTAATGCCGCCGCAACCGCAGCATCAAGTTCTGCTGCCGCTGAGGTATTTAAAAGAAAGAAAGAAAATCCTACAGATATTTACCAAAACAGACTACACTGATCAGAAGTTAGTCAGAATTTTCAGTCTTGCTTGCATATTTACCCATCATTAACTTACTATACATATATTTTATATAATGAAACTACCTAAAAATTTCACCCATTATCCTGATTTATAACCTCTGATCTTGAGAAGGAAATCAAATCTTTAGACGATTAGAAATATTTTGCTTTATATTAGTACTATTTCTTCCCCACATTGTGTGTGACTGGCTTCTATTCGAAGTTTGATGTTTATTATTTAAAAGTCAACGGAGGCATCTTTCTGACTGGCTTGAGGTGAAATGATTAGTCAGCTTTTGAGCGAAATATCACACTACCTCCGATCTAAATGACTGATTTGCATATCCTAAGAAAATTAGTTAAGTTAATTATTTGTAATAAACAGATGTTGTCTTCCGTAAAATATCCCCATCAATCATATGTATCGAACACCTTAACATGTGCAATCATTATAGGGATTACTTAGGGACAAAATAGATAAATAATAGAAACAAAGTAAATTGAGATATTATATTTAGGATCCAATTGAATCTCCAACTAGCTCTTATATTAAGGACTAGAGATAGCATCATATTAGTGTTTATAACACTAATTAATACTTGGTTACTTGTTTTAGAAGGTACTTTTTGATTTTAAATTGCATAAAAAGACAATTAAAACTAAAAGGAGTATATGATGGATCATACTTGTCTTTTTAACTTTGATTTTATTCTAGAGACTTTTTTCCCCCTTGATATTGTCATGTTAGAAGATAAAAAACTTTATGCTTCGCTGGCGCAGGGGTAAATTTGATCTCTCTATAATTTAAAAGTTTACATATGCCATGACTAAGCATTCCGAAATTAAAAGGAAAATATATTCCCCCCTTGTTTTTAGTAGGTAGGAAAAACATGCTAATTATGTGACTAGTGATTTATTAAGAAATAGACTGTGGCCCATATTTTGTACGGATTTGAGGCGAGCAGCACTGTTCATAACTTATAAATAACACGGATTCCGATAGATGTTATACTGCGTATTGATAAGGCTACATTTGAAAATAATGTGATATGTGTTCTTAAAAACTACAAGGTTAAAACTGATGTGAAGATAAAAGTAAAACCCAACCCCCCCCCCAAATAGTTCCTTCCACGTCTGCAATTTGTGAAGAAATGTGGACAATCTGCAATCTGTGTTCTTTTGTTTTCCCATTAGTCGAATATGACACTTCAACCTCATCACTCCATTACTGTTATGTTGAATCTTCAGCTAATTCTACGGGGTGGATGTGCTAAACTGAAAAGAATGCTGATAGAAGAAGGGAAAACTGTCCAAAGGCTTATACTTGAGAAAGACCTTGTGACAGAAGTGGCCAAGAGACGAATTGAAGAGACATCTCGAGAATTAGCTAATGTCCTTGATGCCTCTGCAACTGCAAAATCAAGCTCTACTGCCGAGGTATTTGTTAAATAATTGAACTGAAAATGCAAAAAGAAATGTTTTATTTGGCTCAAGCACATCCCTGTCTGGTGTCCAGGGATCTGCTCCTACGAATGCGTTTGCAACTTTTACTCACAGCCAGCCAACTCCATTTGGATCATCTGCATCATCTCCTTTATTTGGGTCAAGCGGGAGCACAGCTTTTTCTTCAGGGTTTTCAGTGTTACTATGTAGTTCAGCGGGAAATGGTTTCAATTCAGGCACCTCCATTGGGCTCGGCACCTTTACTTCCCCTTCAGCATCCAACACTTGGAGTCCATTTGGGTTTTCCGGCCCATCTCTATTTCAGGCGTTTGGCACTGACAGTCCCAATGCTGGAGATCGAAGATTTGTTAAGAGTTCGTTTACGCAAGAGGTAAGACTTGGTGTCTTGGTCTATGAAAACGATTATATACTTCCGCTGCTTTGACTTGTCCCATCTTTCGTTTGACCATTGAAACAGCTTTAATTGTGGGTTGTTATTGACGCCGGTTCTGTTGGAAATCTGGAATCATTTGGTGCTCTTCAAGC